CCCACATGGAACTTGGGTGCAGAATCCGGAGGTTTCCTCAAGGATTGCACATATGGTACCCATATAGATCTGCATATGGGCACCATATGGGTCCCTTATGGGCTTGTTACCTGGGAAGCATTTCAAATTCATAGTTTTGTAGATCCACTATCGAAAAGCGCGTGGTCGTCTACGTGTTTCATGGGGAGGTACATTTCATGAGGATAGAATGCCTTGGCTTATTATTTAATAATTTTGTTCCGCATATTTACAAGTTACAGTATAACTTAGTGGGATCGACTTCTCTGTTGTTCAAGTGGCTCATATTTCCTCAGGTTCTATTTGCTGATGAAATCTATTTAAAGAAATCGTCCAACCCTAAAACGATGTTGATCTCGGAACATTTTCTATATTAAAACACATTTTATAAGAACACTGAGCCTGAAATTGCTTAAGAAATAAGAAAAAATTGAGGCTGAGTTAAAGTGACGAAAGAGGTTATACTTTTTAAAAAAATTGGAAAAAAAACCAAATCTTATCTGTACCTTATGTGCAATAGACTAAATACCCTGTATAATACAGAACAGTAACATACTGATGAACAAAAATAACATTCTTTTTTTTTTTAAAGTGTGTAAGAACAAAATAAGAAAAAAGCCGTCCATACGTTACGGTACCTCAAAGTGCAATAAAATTGTCAATAAATTACTGTTAAGAATATTATTTATGATATAATAATTGACATCCTTTTACTTCAACGGTTGTCTGTTTAGTTACTTTTCACTGTCAGTTCTAAGTCTTTTCATTAAAACTATTTTATTGTTTCACTGGTTTTCATGGCTTAGTTTTAATTTTGGGAATTTCCCCGCGCATTTACTGTTAAGTTAAGGCATTGTGTATCTTATATTTTTAAAAAAGTCATTATAATTAAGGCTTGAATTTTGTAGTTGTTATTTACTTTTACCAATCTGCCGGGTTTCGTTGTATTCAGAGGTTTTGTAGATATTATTTAGGTAAATTTTGTAACAAGTTATAGTAAAATGTTTTAATTCACTTTACGGGTGGCATCGTTAGTTTATATTTGTGCATGCCCCCAGTTTAGGCTACGAAGAAAACGTTTACATTTGATTCGGTTCCACTTAAAGTTCAAATTTGTACTCTTTAATTTACTTAGTCATCAATCAAGTGGGTGGTGTGTCTAATTTAATGTTTTAATACTGGAGTTTACAATTAGAAATCAATTTTATCTCTATAATTTGTGGCATAAAAAAATAGAAAAAGTTCTGATGCAATGACACATTATTCACCATCCTTATGTAGGGAATTATTGAGTATTAAGAAATATCCGAGTTGAAGGGGTTTGAAAATATCGAGGATCAAAAACATTTTTTTCTGCAGCCGGACGTCTATATAAAACAAATCACTCCTCTTTAGATAAGAGATAAACGCAATTTGATGTCCGAGGTTTCAACTTCAATCTATAACACTCACTTCTAAACCTATTATAATAATTATAATAATCTACTAATAAAATTCAAAAATATGACGATATTTTTTAGAACGATCATTTCAGGCAATGCCTGAAAACTTTATTAGGCCTAGCCATTGCTAGGCCGTACGCTACATATATGTTTCGACAGATCCACTGTCATCAGTGTACAGAGATTCCATATAGGCAATCTTATTTAAACGAAGTGAAGTTTGTGACACGTCAATATATATGTAATTCAACCGTATCAAGTTGTGAACACCAAGATCATGAATAGAAAATATGTATAAATGGCAAACGGTATGAAGTAAAATCAAAATGACAAAGTTAAATTAACATGGTAGACCTGCTTGTTGAGCGAGGGCTGCTCCCATTGAATATGTAATGCCTCCTTTATTTTAAGATGATGAATTGATAGGGCGGAGTCAAGAATACGGAAACAGTCCTCACTACAAGTTTGCATGCATTTGCGTGAATTCTTAAGGTGTTTTAATATGCGGGATATATTACATTGCCGCGTGTTGAGAAGTGTCGGATAGTTTCTACGGAATCTTTGTACACTGATGATGACAGTAGGGTCTGTGGTTTATTAGTGTCATCGATCATTGGGTAACATTATTCACGAAGTATAGTAATATATTTGGATATGCACTTTTGAAACAGTGACACAAGACTATTCCCTGCACAAAACCTCAAGGGTGGTGCATCTTAAAAAACATAAAGGTTAATGCTTGTTGAGCCTGTAAATCAATGATCACAAAATACTAATTAATTTGGAAATACGGTATAGTTTATTAACCAGAATATTCATCATATACATTAGGATACTGGATCACGACGGTATGCCTACAATAGACATCTGTTCAGTTCAGCGAGCCTTAGCCCTGAAGGATAGCCAATCATTTTTGTATACAGTAATTGGCTTATTCTTCATGAGAAACTAAAAAAAAAATTTAAAAAAAGACGTAAACCAATATTTAATATAGTGATAAAATGTTATATGAAAATGTTAAATGTTGTCTGCTTATTTCCAATCCTCGCTCACTGTTAACATAAAACACGCTTCAAATCCCAATATGATTTGTTATAGCTTCATTCTTGTACAATGTTTAGTGTTACCAGGTAAATATTCAGCGATCGTGGCAGATATATATCCTAAAGGCCTACCAAGCATCGTAAACAAAATTTTAAATTAAGAAACAATTCTTAGGCCAATCTAAATTTTCCATGAATAACAACCAAACAGGTACTACATTGAGTTATAATAATATAAAAAGAAATGTATATGACCAGTATATGTCTATCCTTAAAGATGTATTGTTCCATAAAATATCCCCCCAAAATATAAAAAAAATCATTAAAAAAAAAAATTAACTTGCTCATTTTGAAGGAACATAAAAATTTGAACAATGTTTACATATACTTTTATAACGAAAAATAATAGAAATAACAATTCCAGTCACTGGAAGTGCTAGTAATTTTTTGTTATCATTATCTAGCATAAAAAATCAGGCTACACATTTCTTTTCTCTTTTAAATTCAATAATTTGTATGCTCAAGTTAATAATTTCAAAAATATTTTTTTTTAAATTATTATTATTATTATTATTTTTTATTATTTTTTATTTTTTTTTTTTTGTCATTTTCGGGGGATATAATTAAAAAAAAAGAAAAAGAAAAAGTAAAACCAGTAGAGCGTTTTACCAACCACACGACTCCTTGAAGGTACCGAATATAATGAACTATAATTTATAATCGTTCAATGATATATTAAAGGCCTGTAGGCCTCAAAGAACCTCAAGACTTCAAAAACTCAAAGATATAGAGCGAAAGTGAAATAGTTATATTTGCCAACATTAATATAAAAAATACAATATTAAATGACAATACTATATTAATGATTTTTAAATGAAAATAAACCATCCACCAATGTGTGGAGTTGCATAACAATCCTGGAATCAAAATACAAAATGTGATTTGCATGTGTACTCCAAAGAGAATATCGAAATGGCACTATAGGCCTACCTTGCAGCAACTGAGGGATGACAACACGGACGGAAAAGAACAAGAGGGAATATAAGGTACTTAGCTTAGAAGTAACACCATGAAAGAATTAGTTTAAAACTAAAACTAATTCCTCCATTGTAATACTATAGTATTTTTACCGTTCCTGTTAAATGTTAACTTAACCTAAAATACTAACGGAGACCATTAATACGCCCTATGATTCTATTTGTTTTATACCGAACATGAGCTGATAATTAACTTTCCACAAAGCTATAGCTGTTTCAGATATTAATTACCATTATTTTAGAAGCATTGTAATTAACTGAATAATTTATTGATATCATCACCACTAAGGATAATCACCCATTAGAAGACACATTAACTGAATCCAGAATGTATTTATTTCCTAGGACACATTAAAGATTTTGACAAAATTATTTTAAATAAATTAATTTAAAATGCTGGATTCACCTACTGATGATTTCACATTGTAGCTTATATATCCAATATGATAGGCTTAAACTTCACTTAACAGTACATTTAATATTTGTTAAGAACTTCTTAGAAGATACAGGTGAGAGGGGTCAATATACTAAATATCTACTAGGCAACGAAGTGGCATGACTCAACAAAGTGTCCACAAATACAGTATTTGTACCGCCCAAATATTAGTTTCAGAAAAGTCAAAATTCAGTATTGTAGAGCATAGTAATATCACACATACAGTGAATACATATTCCATTATATAACCGTGGAGACAACTAACACACACGGATCGTGACCCAAATGAAGGGATCACTTTCAGACAATCCCAACACTGTGGTGGATCCACGAATTTGAAAGAGGGCCCAGGAAGGGACTTTCACAAATGGCAGGTCTAGACCACCTCAGCCCTAAACATGTTTAGGGCTGAGGTAAGAAAATATATAATTATGTCCAATGCCGTAGCCAGGATTTTAAAACAGTGTGGGACAATATCAGGGTGGACCCACTTTACACGTAAATTCAAATATTGTGGACCCATTTTATGAAAAATATGCAAAATTTTAACCCATTTTCTTAAATTTTATCCACTTTAGGCTAAATATGAGAAATCTGGACCCATTTTTAAGAAGTGGACCCATTTTATGCATAAAATTGCATAATTTGGACCTATTTTTAAAAATGTAGACCCATTCTTTGTGGACCCATTAGACAAATTGTGTGGGATTGTCCCAACTGTCCCAATAGCTGGCTAAGGCATTGATTATAATATGTTGTAACACTTCCTGTCCTGTTGTTCTCTGTGTTACAATGACAATCACCAATGCTTGATTCAAATTACTTAAACATAAAAGTAGATCTGTAGATTTGTTTTATTTATTCCCCCCCCCCCTTTGAATTGCCACTGCCACAGGTTTCTACTTGCAACTTGTTATGTTTATGTTTCATTTAAAGATGTGGACTTCAAATACAAATAACAAAATATTACAATGTGTACTACAGTATTGTTGCATACACATTGTTGTCTGTTTTATTAATTTTATATAGATTAAATACTAACTTTATATGGAATATAAATAGAAATACTGCACCTACATTCTAAATCCACTGTATATTGTTTGAAATAATGTTCAGTGAACGGTATTGAAAGACAGTAGTCAGTAAACCTGCTTTTCAATGTTAAATCATAGTTTTTCATCAATCGTTCTTTATATTTTGTTTTTGGTTCACTTAATTCATTGTTATTGTATTGTTTCAGTGAGTCACACATCTTTCCATAGACAATGGGTTACCTGTTTTTGCAATGATGCCAAATTAATAAATAAATCAATAAAAATACATTAAAGATCTACTGTCTGTCATGATCTGAAAAATGAAAAATTCTATATTCTAATTATAGTCAATTTGGATAAAGTTATTAACTTACAAAATCAGAATGAAAATTAAAATGAATTTACAAACATGTAAATAATACTTTTCTTGTACTTTTTTACATAAACCCTATTTTGGCAGGTAATCGATTTCAAGGTTTTGTAGTAACATGTCTGAAATCAGTAACATTTTTTAAGCTAATAACTTAATTTATCCTTTCAAATGAGCTTTTTTAAGCTTTAATATAAATTTTCAGATTTCTGATTATTTGGCAGGCAGTGTATCTTTAATTTAAACATGTTTATTTTTTAACACATTTTAACAGAGTGTATCTTTTAATTGCTTATTTACAAAAAAAAGGAATGTTTAGCAACTCAACCATTTATGATATCATATCATTGTGACCAATCAAATAAAAATGAAATCATTTTTGATCAAGTGTTTGACAGCACAAAAATAATTACAACTTATTTCAGCTTTATACATTATTACCAAGGCCTGTAAACACCTATAAATTATTATTGGAAGAAATGTTTATAACATATATTTACTCAGCTAAATAGGCATAATATTGCATCAAGTAAATGGCACCTTGCATTTTCAACCCCCTACGATCCGACTGGATAGAGAAAGAAAACATGAATAAATGCCATTTTCTAAAAACACATACAGTGGACAGACTGGAATTGAACCTGTATCTTACAGGCTGTGGCGGTACCAGCAGAGGTCCAGTGGCACAAGACCCTCGTTGGAGGAAACCTGCACCATTGTGCGTATTCTAAGGTTTTATTGCAATTTTTAAAAATCTATTTGGTTATCTACATAGAGCCTCTCTTTGCAGATACGAAAAGCTTTTGTCTGGTCATTGAATCCACATGCTCAAGTCTTGCTGCTGTAATCAGTGCAGGACCAGGTACTCATTTATACTCCTGGGTGGAGGGAAGCAATGCAGATAAAGTGCTTTGATCGAGGACACAAGCGGTAAGTACAGTGAGGGATTGAAATCCTGACCTCGAGGTTGGGAAACAAAACCATTCTCACTGCACCAAATCACTTATAAATTTAAAGACATCGTCTGCTTTCAAAAATATTTGGTCAAGAAATATTGGTTCCTACAAAGACTGAAATTTCAATAATTAAAATAATTCGTCTATTGTCGTAATGGACTCAACAAAGAATATATAAATTTAGATAGTATAATCATACCATAAATGTGTGTAATACATCTGTTACAGACAACCAATATCTTTATGTATATTATGCTAAACCTCAAGTGAAATACAATTGCTGTGGAAACAGATCAATGAAGTTCCACGTAATTAATTATTATTAACATCCAGACACATTATTGCAAGGTTTAATACGTGTACTGTATTTATACAATATATAATATAGTTTATAGTATAACATTTTAATAAAAGTTATGGGGAAAATAAAAAAATTAGCCAACATCCAAATGCTGGGCAGTATCTGCAACCCCTACAACATAGTTTGCTACCTCCTTGTCATCGGGTTTGTCTGACATCACCCACACGTCTTCCACTCCTCCCGTCTCATCTCGACACTGGGGGCACGTACTGTGTTTTGCCTTCCTGAAATTATGAAGTATGAAAATAATTTCAATCATTTAAATTTATATACTGCATAGCATAACAAATTTGATTGTAAAATGTTATTAAAATTTACCATGAACAGGGCGGATCCAGAGATGTCTGAATGGAGGGGCGGAAAGTAGGTCAAATCGAGATAACACCACAATATTCCCCCATGAAAGTTTTGCTTAGATGACCGAAAATAACTCTGAGGAGTTTTGGGTGATCAAAATTTTCTTTTCTTTCTTTCCTTTTTTTTTCACTTTCCAAAATGGGGACAGCCTGGCCCCCCCTAAATCCGCCCCTGATGAACATAATACTCAGGTGTTGTGACATTTAAGAAATAATCACCTGACAATAATGGATACTAGGGAACCTTTGAATGCACGACCACGGTAGGACATAGAACGTGATGATGTCACAAAAAATCATCTGCGTATGCGAGAGCGTTAAATTATCCTCGTCGCATGGATTCTAGGACGCAATTTGGCCAAATCTACGTATGCAGAGGAAGTAGGATGCCAGGTAGGATAGTCACGCATTAGTGATTCCGTTCTAATGTAGCAATGTCGAACAAATCGAGAGCTCCTTACTACTACTTTTAGTAATACTGTACTATTATCTGTAACTTGACAGTTAATATGTAGCGTACATACGTGTGCTGAGATACAAGATACGAGAAGCTTTGTTGCAATTTTATCATATACAATTGAAGTTGAACAATAGACCAAGAAAACACAGTACAATAACATCACAAAAAAGGACATGAAACGCAAAATAAATAAAAAATTTCATGAAATAAAACAAAGTAAAAAAATTTTGAAAAGCTAAAAAATAAAACAAAAAAAAATATTAGGCCAAAGAGAGGATAGAATGGGATATAATATACAATTTAGAAACATTGAAGCAAAATATGTACATATCAGCGATTCTAAGTAAAAAATGTTAAAAGGTATAAAAAAAGTTAAATTTACAATTAGGCGATAATAAAATTAGTTGATATGCTGAAAAAAAAATAATAAGATTAAACATCTATCTGCTAACACAAGGCTTAAAATTAGTGGCAGTACCTGCGGAGTGACAGGGATAGTTAAACCATGGAGGAACTAATTCCTCCATGGTTAAACCACCCAACCACTAGTTAAGGTAAGCTCTCCATCACCTGTTGTCTACAGCTTGTTGGACTAAATCTTTAAAATATTTTATTATTTTATTCTTTGGACATACAATGTGCTCGAAAACATCTCAGAACAGCTTAAATGCTCAAGTTTATCAAGAAATGGACCCCAAGCTAGTCTCCTGGATTTCACTGACCAATGTCGAAAATTGTCAGACAGCTTACAGTAAATTGAAGCAAGTTACAGTGGATTGGATTAGATTGGATTGGATTTATTCGGTGTAAACACCAAGGATAACCCACGAAAGTCTGAAGAAGACTTATTTCTAGAGGGTCCTTCTGGTGGTGATTGGGCAGTACACCGGGATACAATTCTCTAATGTGTTCTTTAACGTGCACATAGGCCATAATGCACACGAGACCATTGGCTTAAACATGTTTCATCCGAAACTTGCATTTCAGCCCTACAGCTGAAATACAAGGAGAGCAGCGATGAGAATTGAACCGGGGCCAAGAGATCTTCATGGTTCAGCGCACACACAGTGGCTACCACCAGTTTAGCTAACTGAGCTAAGCTGCCCTACCTGCAGTTAATCTAATTTTTTCAGTACATACCATTGATCAATACACTTTTGGCAATAGCTGTGCGTACAACTGAGGATGACCTCCGACCTGTTATCTAGACATATACAACACTCATTTTCATCTGCTTCCTTTGAGATTTGATCAATGCTGTTAAAAAAATAAATAAAATTGATTGCTCAAGATTCATCTATCGAGGTATTATCATTTTATTATGTTGTTTAAAAATTGTAACAAAAAAGAGAATTTTTTTTTTTTTTTTTTTTTTTAAATTCAGTTTGGGTTGTATACAGTAAGCACTTTTTTGTGATGCCATTTTAGTGGATATTGGCCCTTGATGGCATTTGTAGTAATGAAAATAATTGATTTTTTTTTTTATAAAACCCAAAGACTACATTCATCTTTCTATGCTTCTTCAAAAATGTAAACATTATGATCTTTCTAGCATGTGATTAGCTTTGATGCCATGTATAGCCTCAACTAAGCGCCCATCCACTAAATATGCCAAAATAAGGTCAGGATGACATCACACCATGACCACATACAGTATTGGCACATCATGTGACTATATATGGGCATATACAACAGTTTTTTGTCAAAGAAAATTTGTTAATCTGGACAGAGTTTAATTTACAAATCATTGAACAATTAAACAAGCCTCACTTAAGGAACAGAGTGGACACGCATAACTCAGGAGGGCAGCCATCCGGTCTTTGTTTATTATCCGATTCTGGGGAAGTTGATTTTTCCAAGTTTTCTTCATCCGTAATGGCTTGAACTTGCTGTGAAAGACTTTCAAAAACTCTTATAAACTGCCTCAAACTTAGCTCCCTCGTCGACAGAATCTGACCATTGGTCAAGTCAACCTGGTACAAGAAAAAAAAGTAATTTTGCATAAGTTGATTTTACAGCATTTCTATACTTAAGCTTTAAAAACTAGATGTCATTTTTTGTTTTAAATTCATTTTGGCATAATGATCAAGAACTCCAATTTTTCATCACATCACAATAAATGTGTTTCAATGTATCACTCAAAATAGTATTTCTTTACTATTAAATCGCACTGAACAGTGTTTACTCAGCCACTCACTTGGGTTAGTTCGCCAAAGTTTTTTCAGCAACAAGTATTTGGAACCCCTATAAATCAGGCCCAATACGTTGGCCACACTGCAGGCTCCAAGTTGTTGGAGAGCCTCTGCAAAGGTGCCTACGGGTTGCCCCATGAGAGCACATATTGTAGGCATAATACGCCATTTGTACATACCCAACTGAATCTAGTGTCACAGTATCACGAGAGATGTTTTATTTTTAGTAGAGTATAAAAATCCTACAATTTGCAGGAATTGAACCAAAGACCTTCAGATTACAGGATGAGCACTTTTTCTGACAGCCATACTACAAGTACACATACCAATTAAGCTTACCTTGTAACAATTGATTCTGACAGTTTTCTTCCATAAAACGGTGTCATCAGAATGGCTTTTAATAGCAAACACTAAACCCTTGCCACCTGTATCGCTTACATCTCTAGTACTGGACAAAAATATGGGAGCAAATACACAAATTATTTATTTCCTCTTCAGTAAATATGATCATAGTAATTCTGATTTATAAATCTTAATTTATTTAATTATTCATTCATAAAATAAATCAATGATGGCTTGTAACACTTTCGTTAGAGTTTGTTTCATGTCTTATGTCAAGTTATGGTTTCTGAAAATGATAGCATAGTTGATTAGTCTTTATTAAAAATGATAGCATAGTTGATTAGTCTTTATTATACATATGCCTGGTAGGATTTTGTCATTTTAAATTAATATTGTACAGTGATCTGCTATCCCATACAAAAACAGAACATTATTTCTTTATTACTAAATTTAACAAAAATTAAATTATTATTATTAACATTAATATAAAAACAATGTTAATGTTACAGTAATTATAGAAAAATTCATTTTATAATTTGATGATATATATCCAGAACCCACTCACATAGAGAAAATAAGGATGATTGATAAATTGTCATGATCTATAATAATTAATTATATTTTTTTAATATAATAATAAAACAGATATTAATATACTAAACTATAAAAATACTATCAATAATTTAAAAAAAAACATATTACAGTAGTTTATCTATATAAAAATCATAAATATCAACATGCATTAATAACACAAATAAACTACTACTCACACTTTGTTCAGATGATCTACAGCTTCAACAAACTCGTCATACTTAAGAGTTGCAACTTGATGTAATGAGATGACCTGACTTTGAAGAAAACCTTTCACAGACTTGAAACCCTTCAAAATTCCTGCTCTTTCAGTGGCCAATGTTTGACCCATGATACTGTCATGAGAGAAATTTATGGTAAATTGAATCTTAATAAAAACTTTTGCAGTACTGCTGGCATTATCTAAAAATTTTGAAAGGGGAGGGGGAGGTGGGTGGTAAATGGGCAACAAAAGTGAGGTGGGGGAGGGCAAAGATGAGGTGGTACAGTACTTGATGATTAAGTGAGGGGGCACTAACTTGCAAAATAAGGTGATACAGTATAAGGTAATCTTTAAGTACTTTTTGCATAGAACACAATTACTAGGGGGTGGGGGGGCCAAAAACATTGTGAAAACTAAGAAAGGTAGCCTGAAAATCTTCATCCTGTCCCTTTTGTTTTGAAATTTCACATCTACAGAAAATCGGCCCCAAAGAAAATCGAGCGCAGGACGATCAGGTTCATTTTCAAAATAATTAAAACTCCAAACTTAATATCTTGCACTCAAGGCAAATTATTGGGTGGTGCTGCAGAATTTTTCATAATACTACGGCTCCGTTCTGCAACCTAAAGAAATTTTGATGAGTCGCGCAGCCGCTTCATAAAACAAAATTGACGATAATTAACAAAAGTGCCGACAAAAGAATGACAACAACCGAAACACTGATGCATGTAAGTACTGAAAGCTTGGTTTTCAAAAAATCGCTACAAGCTATAACTGACAGTTTTCATTGAAGCTGATTGGTTGGTTGTATCGGAGAGCTTTCCCGATTGAGTCGGGGACTGTATGCTAGTGCAATGATTGCAGTAAAAAAACTGTAGGGATAGCTTGACATTTACTGTGTGAATACTTTTGTTTTTATTAGGAGCTATTGCTAAATTTTTGTATAAAATCAAAAAAGACATCAGCTAGGTTGCGACGAAGTTTCTAATGTCATTCAAGACAACAACTTTGATATGTGAGGCTGGATTTCAATCGTTCTGTATATTCTCGCATATAAGACGAATCACAAAATAGCAAATTACGATCGAAAAAAATGGGGTTGCCTTATACGCATTTTATACTAATTGTTGGATTTTTAAAATCATGTTCGTCTATGTTCAGATGGTCCGTAACACGCAAATTTATTACTAAAATACACCCAGTAAAAAAATTGTCCAAAAATCTTCTCAAACTCAGGGGTTGTCTTATACGTGATCAAATACGTATGGTTACATCTCAAGTCCAAGTATCGGCAAAAACTGAAAACAGTGGCCCTGTGTGCCATCTTGAATATTGCATTATCGTCGCTCCAAAGTCGGATTGATTAAAACTTCCTTTTGAGAAGTAAACCATCACACTGACGGGTCTACTGTAGGTATTAAATTTGATGATTATTTTTGGTGTGACACAAATGTACATTTTAAAATTTTAATTCCAAAAAAAACTATTCTGAATCTAAAGGTGGTGCAGAATAGCTTTATTTGGTGTTAATAAAATAACAATATCGTGAGCAGAATCACTTTATGTTCCAATAAATATTGCGTTTATTCCTTTCCAAATAAAGTTTTAAACAATATTTGGTGTGTTAGTGTCATTTACTGTATCTTTGTAAAGGTGTTTTTAAACATTACCCAAAAGAATAAAGAATCAAGTTCGTGATTCCAGTAAACACCGATATCTCTCGCAAATGGTCAAAATGTAAATGTACGTCCTCGAATATCGAAGCAAAATAACAACGTACAGTATAATTACTGCAGGTACTGTATGTTCATACTTTTTACATTTAAATGACATATCTTTCTCCAAATTAAATGACAAAATTAAATAATGTAAGGAAACGCAAGGCGGTGAATGAAATAAGCAGGCAAACCTGACCATCATACTGTATTTCTTAATTTGGCCGAGATTGTTCAGGATAATTTGGCATGTGGTCGATGGGTCGCGGCTGAGTATTAAATAAATTAGGATGTGGGTCGCTGGCTAAAAAGGTTGCAGAACGGGGTACTACAGATATCTGAAAACATAGGCCTAGGGATATAGGGGCCTAGGCACGAAACTAGCGTAGTTATGGAAATGCATTTTTTTACGAATCTGTCTGGGAAAGTCTGTGCACAATTTTTACCCTCTTAAACCACAAATAATTGACTGTCTCCCTTGACTTCATGAGGCTTTTTTCCCCCCAAGATTCAGGAGGGTTAATTCCTTTCCTCCTAGGTAGGTAAGCTCAGAAGTGATAGAGGGCACTATAGATCGTCGATACAGAAAACGGGATAGGAAATAGTTCCAGACAGAGAATAGGATACCCACATGTATTATCGTAGTTTGCTGAAGGATATCGTTAAATTGTGCCCGAACTACTTTGAGACAACCTCCATTATTAATATGTCAACAAGGCTATGTTTTTTAAGTGCGAGATTCGGTTCTGTAGGAAGTTTTTTAAGTACTACGAAAGTTTCAACGTTTATAAAGAATATTAGAAGTTCTTTACAAGCTTTTTCATTACCTTGTCAGTTTTATCCAGATATTGAAATATAAAGGTAAGAAAGATTTTCGAAATATTAGCGTAGCTGATAAAAGTTATAGATTACTGAAAATATATTGCTTCGTCGCCTAGCGGGCCTAGGCCAAGACCCAACAATGTTTTAGGCCTAGTCGCGGCGAAAGCATGGTTTTTCCCGCTAGCTGCAGTGGTGCCAAAGCCCATGATTTGGGCCTAGCATTCGTAAACTTGTATCATAGGAATTGTCAAGTGTGTATGTATATTATCTATAATGTCGAAAACTTATTTTTATTGGTTTTTTTATTGTATATTCATATATTTTTTAACCTGACCCATCTATTTTACTTATTAAAAAAAAATAATAATATTAATTTTTATTATTATTTTATTATTATTATTATTATTATGTTATTATTATTATTATTATAAAATTTTGATGTTAGTATTGACCTTGGGGTTGGGCCTATATTCATATAGTATTGTAAATATGTGATGTTATATAAAAAATGATAATGTTCCTTAATTCAAAATGGCTTGAAATAAGGCAAATTTACACTGTACGGGACACAAACTTCATATAATAAAAACAAAAGGGTAACTCCAACAAAAGACGACATTAATTTTGCAATATCTTCGCTATAATAATAATGGTCCGATTTACATAATTTTGGTCTTAAAATGCTTCATTTGATTGCCTTTTTCTTTATAGTGGTTTGAAGAACATTTAATATAGTTCTATTTTTTTTGTTTTTAGCTACCCTAGCTAGGATAGGCACGAACCTGATCTGACTAGGCCTATTTCGATCACTGACTCCCCACGGACGTAGGCCTAGGCTTAGTTTAGCCTAGGCAGGTGAGCAACTGTTTTGGTGTAGCCCTAGCCTAGAGGAGGGGGTAGGCCAACGGCAATGAATGGCTAGGCCCACCTAGCCATGGATATCATTCATCGGAATGACTTCGTAATTTTAAATTTTTAATTATTATATCATATTTATCTAATTAATTATGGTAATTTGTTGTGTCTTACCGCACAAAAAAATTCCAGGAATTCAATACATTTTACAAGAGTCATCTGCGTTCCATTGCACCCGTGACCACGCACGACGTCAATGCGTTCCAAACTTGGCTGAATGTCGTTGCATCATGGAGGGAGGCGCCAAGTCTCGAGTTTAGCAAAAGTAGGCCAGGGCCTACTGTAAGGGGATGTCTCTATAACGGACCTCCGACCTAAATGGGCCCCACCTGTTCTGCAGCCACCAATTTTACAAAAAAAACCCCTGATATACAGTAGTAAAACAATGTCATACAGTTTGATCCAGGTCGATCCATAGACAGTTAACAAGTTTCATGTTGGAGCCATTTAATTAACTTCCGCACTATAGTAGAGTAACTAGATATATTATTTATAGCCTTGTATTATTTTATTTCTTGGAATTTGGTCTATTATAAAACGAACACCGAGGTCCCCGACGAGGGTGGGGGGGGAGGCGATGCTCCGACGAGCTGGGGTCAGATTTTCCTGATGAAAGTAAAGTGGGCGTGGTCGAGCTTCGATTGAAAGGTTTCCGAAAGTGGTCCTGGGGGCGAAGCCCCCGAAAATTCTGACAATGGGGTTTGAAAGGCTTAGCCTATTAATCGATTTAGAGTCTACTAATATGTAAAAAATACATTTAATTTTTTTTCCTCCCCGACAAATTGTGCTTTTTCTCACCGACGGGCGGAGGGGCTCTCCCACAGGGGGAGGGGCCTCCCACAATGGGGGGGGGGGGCAACCTCCCGCTGGCGCCACCCCTGTTTATCAGGCCTGGATCAATAGCCTAAAATTTTCCCCTATAAATGATGAAAAACAACTTGCAATAATTAATTCATGGTTCGTTAAACAATCTGACACAAATTATCTCTAAACGATTCATGGGTACATCCCAGATAGCAAGATACATCTCCAGTTTCCGATTTGTATGTGATCTGTGATGAGATTGCATATCGAATAAATCATATGAAGCCATCTGAAACCACAGACATTTTTATTTGTTAATTTTGTTAAAATTATTACGACGTGGGACTTTAATCTGAGTTTCTTAGCAGGGAACGCTTATCAAACGCGATGTTCACGTAATTCACGCAGTAGATCCTGAGAACGTACAGCTGCTGTTAATCTTGTGTCAAAGGCCAAATGAACGAAGATCTGGTCGCTAACTACTAGCGTTTTCCCCGCCAAAAGTGTTTTTATTAATGTAAATAGGCATAGGGCCTAGACCTAGACCTAGGAAAACCATCGATAAATTGTGAGTATAAATACGATTTCACTATTAAAATGTCTTTAGGCTTATGCTTATTATTTAACAACATTTGATTGATGGCCTAGGCTAGGCCTAACCTAGGCTACAGTAGCTATGACTTAGCCCAATTTCTATATATAATAATAGAGGCTAGGGGTAGGGCCTAGGCCTAGACCAATGCAGCGGTGTAGCTAGGACTAGGCCTAGGGCTTATTTAGCCCCAAACTCTATATAGATACTATGCCTAGGCAAACGGCTAAGCCAAAAATGTTCAATATTTTGTAAACTCGAATCCTTACTCAATGGCCACTTAGCGGGTATTACTGGAATTTTATTACCAATTATTTTTATTTGATTACTAATCAGGCATGAGCGAACTCACTTGCCCGACGCCCAGGACCAGTGTTTTTGACGGTAGGAGAATTTAAATAAAATAAAAACATTATTAATATTCTATGTATGTACAGTAGGTAGTGTGTTGATCGTTTTCTTATTGTGTGTTTAAAAGTTGTCATCATGACAACTGCAGGTAAACATTTCTCAGGCATGGTTGATTCCCACGATACACGAGTTCTCAGCCAAAGGCTGAGAGGACTGTGTTTTATGAGGGTATTTTATATTATACATTATTGAAATTTTTGCAAATTAAAAAAAGAAAGAAAAACATTTTTTTGCATGATCAAAGCAGTATGCATGTAGACCTATTAATATTGTAGGGTCTTAGCAAATATACTTTACTTTTGTGTTATTTTTTTATGATTATTGCGCAATAATATTGGGACAAGTAAAATTGTCTTCAGGACAAGTGCATTTTTCAAAGGTACAGGTACTTGTCCAGGGACAAGTGAAAATCTATGAAATTCCCTTATGCCTGTTAATAATTTCAGTTTATTAATCGGTGCTATTTTTCTCTGTGACAGAAACAACCCAAATGTAAGTTGATCGGTTTGAGACACGTATAGTCATTGTTTGTTGTGTTTTCCTGATTATTTTAACATGTTTAAAATGGAGATTTATGAAAATAGCATGTAGTCATTTTGTTTTGCATACATGTTTTCTTGTTTGCTGCCTTTCCCATTTACCATAAATGTTCTGATCATATTTATAATACAGAATATATATCATATTTATACATATAGGCCTGTGGTATGATGAAGCAGGGCGGCAGTAATTCCCGACGAGGGGTCCAAGCTCCCTGATAAAATTTGTCTGAAATTTTTTTTAATTAAAAAATAACATTGTATTATTTTTTTTTTTTTTTTTTTTAACATTGTATTAATGGGATTTTTTATCCTGTCAAAAGTATCAGCCCCAGTCAGCGAAGAGCTGGCACCACCTCTGGAAGTGACCCATGCGATCGTAATATACAAAACCTCATACATATATGTAGCACTGCTCGCACTAAACAGTTTTTAATCCCTTGGCAGCTTAGTAAGGCATGCTTAAATTGTAATTTCGGCGCTTGAGATTTGATTTTTCCCCAACGACCCTGCTGGAAATGTCCCTGAAGGGGGTCCTTTGCCCCTCTGGACCCCCGTTACCACTGCCCCTGTGATAAAAGAAGATGAAAGATTAACATTCCCGCAAAAAGTTCCCATGGTACTCTTTGAGGTGAAGCTCAAACAAGTTTTGTACATTCTTGATATTTTTCATTTCTATTTTCATACATATTCTGATTAATGTTTATAAAATACACCAATAAATACACACATGTTTATTAACAAGATGTTAATGGACGTTTCGGGCTTTCTTTACTTAATAATCCGGAGAAATTCACTCTGATGAGGCCTATACCTGTACTAGTTGCTTGGACTATTACTATAAAAATATAGAAAGAATCATTATGTTCCCACAAACAAGTTTCCACAGTACAGTTACTCTTGAGGGTGAAGCAGACACATTTTTGCATGCCAACTTCAGGAATGTGGGTGCACTTCTACAAGGTACTGTAGATACTGTACTAATATAGACGACTGGCTATTTTCTTCAGGTGCAATGCACGTAATGGCAGTGAAGATGTTGTGCGTGCATTTACCTAATTCATACATAATTATTGTCAAAATATTAAATCCCAACACGATGGCATGTACTTCAATACTTGTGTAGTATTATACTTTCTTATTGCATAAATACAAAAATCAGATATAAATGCATATTTGGTTGAACAAATTAATTCAATATCATAACAATAACGTATTGGCCTTTATTATGAAGATTCATACAGTAAATTGAAAAGTTACTACATATAAAAAAATGTACTGTACACGCCATCACACTTCACTGGGACTGCAAGAAAAAAAAAACTTTTTTCAATATAGAACACACTACTAGGCCTACATACTACAGTTTTTATTTATTTCTTGTTTAACCTGGTTTAACAACTCCGTTAAAACCAACTGTTATCCTAATATGTGCCCAGGATAATACAGTACTGTTACGTACTAAAATTAAAACATATGATCAGAAAGTTAATGGTAATGGAAACGCAACAAACAAGGAAACCACAAGAAAACAAACATATGACAAACAAATAAATGATCACTGATCTCAATCTACTTACATTTGCGTTGTTTCAGTAAAAGAGAAAAATAACACCAATTAATAAACTGTAATATTTAATCAAATAAAAATAATTGGTAATAAAATTCCAGGAATACCCGCCATCGAGTGGGGATTTGCATTCACAAAATTGAACATTTTTATAGGCTTAGCCATTAGGCCTAGGCCCCTATATAGTTTGGGATAAATAGGCCTCGGCTACACATTAATTCATTTTTCATGTTTAATTCTTGCGTTTTACAAAATTGAAATTAATTTTTTACACTGCCATCCCAGACTAGGGAGATGTTATTTAAGTACAGTATGTAGGCCAACAATACTGTATACGCTATTCCTGCAGTAGCTGCATACATGTAGTTCACTCCTAGCTCCCCCACTGCATTGGCTGACATCTACCAAGCCTGTGTGGCCTTTCTCTGGGGCTAGATTTAGCGTCGCGGTTTGCTAAGTTCAAGACTTGTTTTATTCATGAAATTTCTGGCTTGTTCCAGAAACTTTAGGTTTGGGTGATGTTGCAAGGTTTTTTTTATTGTGCCTTTCATTTCAACAGTGGAATTTTGGAGTATAGAGAATTAAAGCGCTTCTGAATATTGAACTAGATTTTGGCACTATACAAATACCAGATTGGATTGGATTGGAATTGCCTCTGTCTTTGTTCAGCATGAAAATATTGGCTAATCCATTTGACTCTATCTAATTACAGACAGCTGTTTACCAGGTTTACAGACAGTTGTTGAACAGGTTTATGCAGAAGGTACAGTACAAGGAAGGATTCAAGAATGGAACTGAATGACCTTGATAATCGGATCAGTTTTATAGATGATGGTACCGGTAATTCACATAAAGATGACAACCTGGTTTGTTCAGAATTGCCTCTGGCAGAAAGGGTAGCATTAAAAATTCAGGGTATATCTGACCAGCCTAACAATGAAGCCTTAATGAAGAAAGAACCGAGTCGGTGCAAACGAAAAAAATCTGCGCAAGAGGATGCTTTAGATGCTTTTAATTACTGGCTCTCTGAAAACTCTGCAAAGGAAAATAATGTTATTGTTAGTTCAACAGAAAATACAGAAAATGAATTAAAATCTGGGTCAGATCACACAAAAATAGAAGATAAAATAAATGATGAATGTAATGCTATAAAACCAAGTGATCATCAGGGTCATGGGAGACACAAGACCCACAGACACAAGGAAAGACATAACAGAGATAAACATGCATGCCTGTCTGAATCTCCAACATTCCCTAAAAGTTTGTCTTCATATTCAAATTCTAGGAAGTCCAAAAGGAAAGCAACTAGTTCTGGTCATAAAAGACGTTATATTGACATCGATGATGATATTGCGTATAAACCCCAACATGACAAAGATAACCTGTCAGAGAAAAGTGGTTCTAAATTTCACTCACCACAAAAGTTAATACCTGAGAAGATTAATATCACTCAAAAACAAGATGATGATGATGATGTTATAGAAATATGTAGCAATACTTCTAACGACGTTAGCCCTAGACGGAGGAGGACTCGGGTCAAACGGGGTAAGAAATCCAGACCATCACCTACCCCCTTGCCTTGCACACCTGGGGGCACGTTTGGCCGGCCAGCCTCACCTGCAACAATGCTACTGCTGAAGCAACTTGAAGATGATGAGATGATGGCTCGTCGGTTGCAGGTAAAATACTTTGAAACTCTGTCAACATCAAATTTTCTTTGACTGAAAACTCTTGTATGGCCATATATAGTCATAATGTGCCTATATATGGTCATGATGTGATGTCATCATGACTATATTTAGACATGTCATGTTTTTTTCGAATAAAAATAATAGTCTAAACAGGACTTTGGTCATTCCATTAAATTTACTGTTAAATTAGCCATCAAGTTTATGATGTTTGGCCATTTCATACAGTATGCCCAATGTCATGTTGTTGGTGTCTTCTTTAACATTTAAGTTTATAAATTATTATACTTAACTATTGATAAACTAACCCCTACACAAACATCAACTTGGTATTTCTATGTCTTGATTTTGTGGCTGGAAAGCAAAGTATACTTCAACATTTTCTTCCTACTACACTAACAAAAAAAAACAAAAAACTAAATCTGAAAAAAAGAATTGTTTTGGAGAATGCAAAACTTCTAATTTATGGATTTTTAAAATTAAATACAAATTTATAAATATGTAACTAGAGCAATCACTCCATAAGTGCATACCTCCACCCTTGCCTGGATACAAAAAAATATGCAGGCCGTGGATGGCCAATTCCATATTTTTATTGTATGCGTAGTTTCTGAAACATTGTTATATCATGTAATTGGCAAGTTATTGTTGGATGTAAAGAGGATGGACTGAAGAAAAATTATTTTACCTTTGGAATGAACAGTTAAATAATAAACCAGTATTGAATTCTGTGGAACGCATTGTTTTACTGTGCTTTTCATTACTGTTTTTACTTTGGTACTTAATTATTTTTATTTATTATGTCAATTGTATAAATATAGTGCTCAATTTTTTTTTTTAGCAACAATTTGATGCTGAAGAAGTAGTAAATCATCATCAGCAGCAGGGGCCACCTCTGTTGCCTTCATTTGAACCAGTAGCAGGAGTTTCCCATAGACCAAGAGACCACAGTAGATATACCGGTAACCGACGATATCCACTGATACAACACCATGCCCACAGCGATGCTGCATGGAACCTTGCTCAATCTCCATTGAACTATAACGTTAGCCCACCTACGTTCGATCAATTCAACAGGCTACAGCCAGTACATCATCAATTGTTACAAAGTTATATTACCATGGTAAAAGCAATTGTTTTCATTTATTTTTTTTGTTATTTACAGTACAGTACCTAATTCAATTAAATTTCCTTTATTGCTGCTACTGTATGCCATCATGGACCAATATAGTACTGTTTACAATAATCTATGATAACTAAGCATTACAAGGCAGGGACGTACTCCACTAAAGGCTTGATGACCTGCATACCCCACCTAACCCAACTATGCATTTTGGGGTGGGGACGTTACTCCACTGAGCCCCTAACGACCCGCATACCCCAACCTAATCGAACTATTGACTATGCATCCTGGGGTAGGGACGTTACTCCAGTAAGGTCCTAATGACCCGCATACCCCCACCCTAACTGAACTATGCATCATGGCGTAGGGATTTTATTACTCCACTAAGGTCTAGTGACCTGCATACCCCATCAAATATTGACCAAAAATCTTTGCATGTTGAGGACCTACTGTAATGAGTTAAAAATGTACTATCACTTCACTGTAGAGCTACACAGCAGGGTTGTAGCTCTATAGAAAACTATGGGTGGGTGTTAGCCATTTTAAGGGTGATGGATGTTAACATTTTTAAACTCTAAATAATATGAGTGGATTTTAAAGATGGAAAAGTGGGCTAATAAGGGTGGGTGGAGAGCCATGAAATTAGCTTCAGACTGGGTAGAAAACTTTAAGGCTGGTTGGCCTGCCCACCATAACTACATCTTTGTATCAGTCATGAGGAAAATTTTAAATTAACATTTTTAATGCTTATTAAATAATTTATTTAATCCTTTTAAATGAGCTATTCAAAATTTTATTTAGATTTTTGAGGTATTTTCATGTCTTTTGGCTGATAGTATGTCTTTAAATAAAAATGTGACAAATTTTTATTTGTTTTTATATGTTCATCCAGGTAAAAAAATGTCGTCATTAACATTATCTAAAATCTGTGACATTTCTCTTATCCTATCCTTGTATATGATATTAAAAACATGCTGTTTTGCATTATCTAATTAGCAATGGCTTATCTTGCAATGATAGATATTGAATTGTTGAATGTGATGTCCTAGATTATGAGTTAGATGACTGAGTCACAAGTTGTCACCTGACATTGTGCCTCAACCTTGACCAAAAGTCACAAGTCATCATCAAGGGACATGTCCACGACTGTGTGTGCCAAGTTGCATGTCCTAAAAACAATTTCTTTTCTATGTCAAAATTAAGAGACTTAATTAATCAAATTTATATCTGAAAAAAAACTAAAATTATTACTATTAGGAATATTAACTAACTAATATCAACTAAAAATAGAATTGAAATACTTGTTAGATAATGAAATTAATTCTCAACATAGAAATTGGTTATTATGAAATTGTTATTATTGCACTGTTTTAGTACTTTAAATTTTAGTAGTGAGCCCCCTTTTGATAACTTGATGGAAATAAACATGGCTGATATAATAGCTAGACAACTTTGTGCTGAATTAAAAGTGCGCCCCCTACAACTTAGCACACTGAATTACAAGTGTGCCCGCTTCTAAATGTAAAAACTAAATTTACTTTTTCAGTACTCAGGGCATTGTTTCTCTTCAAGTCTGGTGCAAGCTTTATTTCTTTACTTAAATAGAAATCTGGATCCTTAATCCAATTGTTTTATCTTACTGCAGATAAATACACCTACAAGACCAAGAGGAAGGGTTAGAAGACGGGGTACACGCTCAAGAAGGTACTCTGATGAATTTGAGGGAGAGGAAAATGGCAATAATTATGAGGTTTGTCACATAATTTTCTTGCTAAAAAGCAAGCTTACCACAAAGAGTATCTTTAATACATGATGAAGCAAGCATATGTTCATAAAGGAGGGAATTTTTTTCAGTCAAATTGCTCGGTTAAACATTCTCTCATCTTTTTTTTAACAACTCTCATTTCTAGTCCTTAACTGCCATCCACATATATGAAATTTTCTTCAGCAAAAAATTGTTGTATGCCCATATATAGTCATGATGTGCCTATATACGGTCATGATATGATGTCATGATGACCATATTTAGGCATATCACTTGTTTTTGTTAAATAAAATTTGATAGTCAAAACAGGGCTTTCTGGTCCTAATGTACAGTACCATACATTAATCATGTTTCAACAACTGCTTTAAATGGAAAACAATTGTTTTCCTTTCTGGTCCTAAAATGAAAGAGTTTCTTATTCTACTTGAAACAAAGCAACTGTAGGTTATAATCAACTTTAACTTTATTGTCAACAATATGTTGCTAAATTTAAAAAAAAATTTTTTTTTAAAGACATTTCATTGAAGAGTGATAAGGTATATTTAAATAAAACCATGGTGGAATTAGTTAATTTCTCCATGATAAAACTAATCTAAACTCAACACCTTAATCAAAAAGAATACATACCAATTATTCTAGAATTTGCATTAAGTTGAATAAATTAATTTGGTCAAACAATAGCAGAATGACAGGATAAAAACAAATTATAAACAAAATGAATTATAAAATTAAAGATTAAAATGTGTTTGAAAAAGTTAATGTAAGTAAATGGATCTGAAATATATTTAACAAGAATTTGTAAGTCTTCATCTTTCTCAACCTAAACTTACTCTTCTTCAACATAATTAATGTATGTTAGTGGTATCAAATTTTTTAATGAACTCCCCATTGAAATCACCTTTGCACCCTCAAGGATAAACCCAAAAATCGTTTCTTATCAAAATATTATCATTTTATTCTTAAAATATTTTCATATTATATTGTTATTGCATCATTTTGTTCCCCTGTATGTTTTGTTGTGCGGGCGCATGTGTGTGCATGTATTTATATGTCTCTGTCTTTTTTTTCCGAAATTTTGTCTATTTTATTATTATTCAGGGCATGCTCGGCACAAGTGTCATTTGAGGATTCTTTTCGATTCATTACTTGGCATTCCTTTTTGAGCACTGCCCTTCTTCCCTTTAATCCAATTCTGTTTTTGCCCCTTTTTCTCTCTTTTGGGCTTTTTAAAATTTTAACATCTTGATCCTATTGTTTGTTTGATTTAATATGAAAGGAAGAAATAAATTTTTACTGTAGTTGAATTTGAATTTGAACTGCTATAAAATGATTTTTGCAAGTAATATTTCTAGCTAAGAAAATAGATCATTCAATTTTAGCACCATTAAATAAAATTCATTGATGACTTAAATTAATACGATATTGATATACTGTACATATGTTTTGATATTGTACATTTTTTTTTATAAGACCCACTACTTTAATGTGTGTGCCACTGTTAAAAAAGTACATCCAATAAATTTGATTTCACTCGACTGTATAAACTTCCTTGATGCTTTCAGACTCTGATGGCCCTAGCTGAGAGGCTAGGCCCTGCAATTGAGAAGGGATTGAGTGCCATAGAGATAAGCCAGTTGCCAACCTTTCTGTACACCCCTGACAGTAAATTACAGAACAGATCCTGCAGTATATGTATGGCAGATTATGAGACTGGCGATAACCTCCGAAAGCTACCTTGTTTCCATGACTACCATGACACTTGTATCGACCAATGGCTTGTGGTGAGTATATGATATTTATGCATCATATGATCCGAGAAAATCCCATATAAGTAATTTATTGGCTTGTATCTTGTTGACTGATCAAATTTATGAATTAAAGAAATTATTTGGACACTTTTACATCAGTGACACACTTTGAAAAACAAACAAAACTTATACAAATGATTACAAGATACATCAAATTACAAGAACAGCTAAAACTTAAAACTAAACTCAAAACAGCTTAGATTAATCCCTTCTTCCCTCCCCCTCCTTCCCTGAAAATTTAAATGTTATCCCTCCTTTACCCTAATTTTCAGAAACAATATTCTAAGTGCTCTTCTTCCCTCCCCAAACAATACATCTACCCCTTCCCCTTAAAACTTTAACATCAAAATAACATCAAAATAGTAATGCAGGAAAGACAACTAAAATATTTGATTTAATAATATTTATTATTTGATTATTAAAGTTTTGAAATACATAATATATATCGCTTTATTTCAAAAACCACATAAAAATTATAATATATGGTGGCCAAAGGCCAGATTGCATGTTATTTACAAAAGAGATAATTACAATAATTATAATTTTTAAATCCCATAATGTCTAATGTCTATTTTATGGAAGTTATTTTTTTAAGCAACTATAAATAAGAATATATTCGTTAAATTGTTGTATTCAAACCTTACATAAAGTACTGTAACCATGAAATGCCTAAATTTAATAATAATAATAATAATAATAATGTCGGTCACATTACTACCCCGGTCATTGGATCAAACACGTATGGAACACATACTCAGCTTCCTGGGGAGAATTCCATAATATTGCAGCTAGTAATCAGCGCAGTTGTGTTCAAACCTACGAGGTACCCACTTGTACTCCTGGGTGGAGAAAGGCAAACACAGGTAAAGTATCTTGCCTAAGGACACAAGCAATGCGACGAGCGTCGGTCTTAAACTCCCAATCCCGCGCCACACGCCTCTAAAATTTAAACAATATGGAGATAAGCAAGTTAGAGAAATCTGTAGTATCCATCTTATAATATTTTTTTTACTACTACTATAAAGAGTCCTTCAACTTCATGATGTATAGCAAACTGAAATTCCTCACCATTTCTTTTAATTTAGCTATTTTTATATTACCACAGAAAAATCCAGCATGTCCAATATGCAGAGTTGAGGTACAGATTCAGTGATGTTTTGAGTAACTGTGTGGTTCCTGATAGTATCAAGGAGTTAAGCATCATCAAGTTGGACATTAACATGGAATGCCTATAATGTTTTTAGTAAAACGTTGCGTTCCCATCGGGAACATAATTTATTATGATCACTGTTTATCACCAGTGAGGTTCAACTCTATACCACAGTTACTACTGTCATGGTTGGCTCTGTTGAAATGGTGGAAGAAAACTGTACAACAATAACACAAGCAATGTTACTGGGTTTCCCAAGCCTAGTCCAGACTATCAAATTTTGTTTGACAGAAACATGTGACCTGCCAAATATGGTCGTGATGACATCACATCATGACGCTATATAGACATTTCCTTGACAGTATATGTGGCAAAGACCAGCCAAATCAGTCACTCATCACAAATTGTTTTTCGAAGATAATGGCCAAAACATGTTGGAATGTCAACATTTTCAAAATCTATTTTATTGTACTAAACTAACCATATATATATATATATCTATACATCATGTCGGCGGCGGATCTAGGGATGCAAAATAGACAGGGATCGGGGAAGTAATTTCACAGATGGAGGATCTATACCACCTCAGGCCCACCATGGTTGAAGCTGAGCTAAGAAAATTTATAATTATGGCACCTCTAGATGGCAAGAAATTGCACTCTCAATTTCAATATAATTTTTTTATATGCCATTTTTTTAAATTTTGAACATTAGAGGGAGGGAGGGGGTGTGGTTTGTTTTCAATCCAGCACTGCATGCTAATGTTTTTATTTTCCCCATTTTTGATCTTAAAACACTGGTTATTTTTTACAATTTGGTGAGGGTCCCTGCCTAAGAAATGTCTGAAATCGTAAAATTTGAAGGCTGATTTGTTAAATACTGTTATTTTACTGCTAAACCCTGTGGTAATACTAAAAATTCTGGAAAACACTGTTTATTTCCAAATGGAAATGTGTGGAAACATAGAAAAAATGAGCAAAGGATTACATCTGAAATCAGAATGCATAACTGAAAAACACTATTACAATTCTTGTTTCAAAAATTTCATAAAGGTATCTAATGCCCTATTCAGTATTGCCTTCATTTTTTTATTTTGGGTTGCAATACAGGTAGTTACAATTGCTGCAACTATCGCAACCCAAAATAACAAATTTGCATTTCAGTGATAAAGATTTAATTAATCTTAATTATTCTATGGCCAAAGAAAAATGTGTAGCCCAGGCATAGTGAAATTTTGAAACTGGGGTCATTTAAAACTTTTGGAAAATATAATTGAAGTGAATAAACTATTATGTGTACAGTTGAATATAATTTGTATTACATATTTTGGCATAAATAATGTTAAAGATACATTTAATCGTATGACTTCCCAGAATTTAATTACAATAGACTGCATACTTGGTACTTTATGAGACTTAATATAGGTTATTGTGAATAAAAACCATGGCTTCTTTACAAACCAATTCAATTTCATCCCTTACCCCCATTGACAAATTTTATTTTCTGCCCATTTAGATGTCTGCTTCAAAGCCCATTAGTGTTTCATTATTTGTAACTTTCAGATTCTACCTCAAGTTCGACTCATATAGAAATATAGGCAACACAGAAACCAAAGAAGAATCCAATCAAGTTGTTTAAAGTTCAAAACTAACCATAAACCAGGGAAGTAGTAATTCGATTTCGTTACTTCACGCGTATTCTAACTACAGGCTTGTTTAGATTAAATTTGGATTCTGAAACTGTTATAGTGTGTAGTCCGCCCTCTATCATAGTTTTGTTGAGTTTCTAATCGAACTTTTTTTTGTCTTGGAAATGTGTAAATAATACCAGTTGTTATCGTGTTTGTAGTCTAACGCAATGCTATTTTCTAGCAATTACACAGTCATTTGTTAAATAAATATTTGGTGCCTTGTAAATGTGTTTGTAGTGTATTTTCAAAAGTCCGTTCCGTTTATGCTTTGTGGTATGCCTAAGTAGGAAGGTTTTTTTGGGGGGTGGGGAATCTATAGTTTTACTAAGAACTCGGATTTCAGATTTATATTCGGAATTGCTTTAGCATCAAGGATACATATCAATTTAATAGTGCATTCATACACAAAATACAATACAGGATGAAACAAATATATAAACATTTAACCAAATTAAAGAAATAAAAGCCTATACACCAAAAGTAAACTATTAAGTATTTAGATTTAATTTCTTTTTTTTTTCGTCTGATAGGTAAACAGCAGTGAGTACATTTTCAAGTCATAGTTTTATTTTTTTTAAAGCCCATTAGTTCCATATAGATAAAATATACATTAAAACAGCTAGTAAAATACTTAAATCGAAGCAACTCCAAACAGACAATAACAAGATACAGTTTAGGCAATATCATAATACTGCAAGATAGTATAATAATATATGAAATATTAAACTTTTGAGTTGAATAAAGATTCTAGTTAAAATTTACGATTACAAAATCGATGAGGATTGCTGTTAAAATTTAAAATTAATAAATTTCAGATTAAATCAATTAGGCCTAATTAAAATACTGTACTATAAATAACATCATGAAAAACGTCCATTAAACAATCTTGATCGAATTATTGTATTTGTCTGTTCTACATTTAATTTATCTATACATATTATGATCTTTTAATAGTACAGTAATAATTTAATGAATTATTTATATCTTTCTGAATATGTTTGGTCTTAGTGTTAATAAAATTGTGACATATATGTTTAACCGATTAATTAATTCTTGTAATTCTACCAGATGTCAGTCTAAACAAGTTACACGAATAAATTAAGAGGCGTTTGAGTATATTCATATCCATTCTACAACTCCTTCGAATAAACTCCCCTCAAAAACCCTTCTCAACAATAAACGCGTTTATTTGAATAAATACGGTAAAATATAATATTAACGTACAGGACATTAAATACAATAAAATGTGCACAAATGTTGATTTGTGTAGGATTACGTTTATTCTAACCTGGTTAGGATCGGTAAGTGTTTATGATCACGCAGTAAACACATTTTGGCGGTAATATGTGTTGTAAATTCCACATTTACATTTGTTTGAGTATATACATATTTATTTTACACCGAAAAAAAAGTAAACACCTTCCTCGAATAAACTCCCCCTCAAAACCCTTCTCAACAGTAAACGTCCTGGGGCGTTTATTCGAATATGTACTGTAATATATAATATTAATGTACAGGAGAAATAGACATAAATAAATTAATTATAGAGATTGTCAATGAGATTGGATTGAAATGTGTAAAATGCGTATACCAAATAATTAGGAAAAAAAAGAACACGCGCACAAATATAATTATTTATAAGAAAGGTTTTTAACAGACGATAGTTTTAATATGTGTAAATTAGTCGCGTTTAGATATTTAAATGGTTTGCTTAGGTTCAGTCTACTGTCTTGAATTCCAGTTGAAAGTGTTCAGGTGTTTCAGGCTAATACCGTACTTGTTTTTTGTTAATGTCAGTGATTTCACGACCTTTAGGCTAATCATGAATTAATTTTCAATTTATATAGGCCTGTGGGCAATTTTTAGCAGGCCATAACGGGCCAGTTTACTGTAGGCCTACTATTTGATACACGTTTTTAGAGCTCATTCATTCGCATAATTCCACCAAATTGCATGCCGTTAAAAAGACTACTGTGTCACAACACATTTTTCTACAGTTCCCTGTCATTGTTTTATCAGAAGTGAAATAAATAGAATAAGTGTGTGTTGTAGGTGTCCTGCGGACCTACTCTACAGTAATCTAACTGGGCTACTTTATATAGCGTTCTCTAAAATGTACGTAATTGTTTTGTGCTATTTTTCTCTCGGAAAAATTCAGAGACAATATTAAATGACTCAATTGATACAACTTTAAATAACTTCTCTTGTCATGTATGCAGACCTGTATGCCGTAGTCTATCGGGTATTTACATATTACACTAATGGCCTATTCGGTTGGTGTTTGAAACATTTAGGTTCACAACGAACGTCACTTCATATTCGCGCAAAATAATGTTGTTAAATGGGCCAAGATCAAATAAAATTCACTGCCATTTTATCTGTAAAAATAAAATAATCTAGTTTTGTATGCTTTAGGCATATTGTGTGGCCTTTTCGTTTTAACTAAACCATAGAGAAACCATTAGGTATATATTAACGGTGTTAAATTATTTTACACAAATTGTGGTCACTCTTTCCTGGCCTGGCATTATTGGCATATCAGCTTGACTGATTCATTCTGCTTCACTTTGTTTTTTGCAAAAAAAAAAAAAAAAAAAAAATTATCATTAACCTAGGCCTATTTGCTGAAATATTTAATTGGAGGAAGATTGGAAGGAAAGAGAAGGAGTTAAAGAAGAAAAGGATTATTGGATGATTTAGAATTTAGTGGCTATGCTGCAATAAATAAAAAGGCACAAGATCTCTGGATGAAGGGAACCATGAACAATATAATCGAGACCACGCTGCAATAAGTAGAATACTGATGATGAGGCATACACTTTTTTTTTTTATAAGAATACGTTTTATAGAAACACCGAGGCCGAAATTGTTTTTAAAAACTAAGAAAAAATTGAGGCTAAGGTAAATTGTCAAATGAGGTTTCTATTTTTCAAACCTGTGTGACTATAATAATAATATTAATGATAACTTTATTGAATCGTACACGTTTATGTCAGTGGCACACACTATCAAGTGGTGCGTTCACAATCAAAACATTCAAACAACACAGTACATTCGTACCGGTACACTAAAGCATAGTATAGTACAAGAAAAACAGTAAAATGACAATTATTTAAGAATGAAATACCCTGTGTACAACTGTACAGTAATATGCTGTTGTACGATTATAATTTTCTATCATTGAAATGTGTGTAAAATAAGAGTAAGATAAGAACATATTGAGCCTGAAACTGGTAAAAAAAAAATTAAAAATTAAGAACACCGAGCCTGGGAAAATTTTTACTGGTTCATATAAACAAGGTGTATTTCAATATTTATTAAGTTTTACTTTTAAATGTTTACATTTATACTCAATTATTGTTTATATTTAAGAACGAACTTTGAAATGAACAAGTGCCATTGTTTTAAAAGTGTAGACATATAATTAGTAAATAAATAATTATAATATATGAAGATTAAACATCCATTAATTTATTCTCCTGTAAGTGATCAATTTAATTATAAATTTAAAGCACCTGAAGTGCTTATGTAGAGATACAGTACTGTCTTTCTTGAGTTGAGTATTTAACTTGAAGAATACACTTCAACTGAATTGTTCACCCGGATGCTTCAATTATAAGATTGTTATTAAGAATTTTGTCGATTATAATGAATTTTTAGCCTAATAATAGCATAATTCTTTTGATCATGCGATTAATAATATGCGATATTTAACTTGGGCAATTTTTTTTTTTTTTTTTTTTTTTCTTTTTTTTTTTTCTACTTTAGTTTAACCTTAGATATTACGTGGTAACCGTTTGTTGTTGCTTGTTGTTCCATCGGTACCAGTAATTTGTTTTGTTCAATGACAAGTTCCTGTGGCTGAGTTCGTGTAGTATGACAGAGCGATGCAGCATCACGCTGTACACACCATGTGTCGAACTAGCCTAGGAATGTACGTCAAGTGGTGCGATTCTGATTAAATTTTCACATCTGATCTACAGGCAAACAGCAGGACGGAGACGGCCAAGAGAGACCTTAATTGGGTTGCACTAGGGGCCTAGATCCTTCTCAACTCCCCTTGTACAATTACGTTAATAAATGTGATTACTTATTACAGTATTAACATGTTGCAGGCTATATCGCGGAGTGTGATTGTGGAATTCCTCAGCGATGTCTGGATTATTAGCAAACCAATTTAGTGCGATGTGATTTTTGACTCGCATGGCTTCTTCAGAGACAAAATCATTGTAACAGTTGCCGTACATTATTTAATGGAAGGTCTATTGGGTAATTTAGCCCGTTTCTAAAGGTGTCCAACTTATAAACCATTGCATGACAGTTGTTAGTTGCGGCTGTCGAGGGGGAAGTGTATTAGTGTCTCCCTCTATCTTCTCGCTTACAGTTCTGGTCACATATATGGCCATGATATTTTTATATCACTTGTACGATGTAAGCCCGGTATATTTTGTTGAACTGTTGCCAATTTTTATTTATTTATTTACTGGTTTATTTAGTTCTCTTTTAACTCTAAACCAATATACAATCTCTGAAATTACTTTAAATAGGGTCACGAAAAAGAAAATAGGTCTGTAAAAATGAAACACGAAAATGGAATCTCAAGAAGTCGTAGAGTTTTTACAGTTTATCCTGCAACAAATACAGTAAAGTAGCCTAGGACACAAATTAAATATATTGTTCGAATAAAGGCCATGATACTGTAATACACCGTGTATCATAGCTCTCAACGATTGTTGTCCTATAAATAAAGAAATTATGTAATAGATTTATTTTGACGGGATTCGAACCTGTCAAGGCGAGCGTCATTACAATTAGACCACAGAGGCTTCATGGTTGAAAATATTTAAATAACTGTAAAATAACTGTAGTATATATATGCAAAACAATTATTATATTGATAGGCCTTGCTTCTATAGAGTGTTTAATTTTCATTTTAAAATAATCATTGTTTTGCTATAATACTGTATATATATATATATATATATATGTATATATATATATATATGTATATATATATATGTTTTAAAGGTCTCTTAACGATGATAAATTGCGTTAGACCTCACTTATAAGCGTTGCACTAATAAAAACAAACAATTAATTAACGCAATTGTTTTGTTTTCTGTAGCTACTTCGGGTCCTGTGGTTTATATTTACAATGATAATGATAATGATATATATTTGTCGTACAGCAATTAAATTAAAAGATAAGCGCATAGAGGTCTCCAT